TGGATACAAAGCCCCCCAGCGGAGAGTGATTGAAGTAGATGCAAAGTGGAAGCAGAGGAGCCCAGCATTTTAGGAGTCCACCCAGGTTGGAGGATTTGGGATATAGGTCCGGACCATCATCTCTGGCAGCAGTCACCCCATTAACCACCAGAGGACACCTTTACCATCAGGCCGCACCTTCACGGGACCTTCGGCTTCATGGAATTTCTATGTGCACATTAAATTGCACTTCCGGTGAGTGGGCAATTTTTCTACACCTTCATGTTGGGATGTTGGAATATACCCATTTGGATTGAAGTCATATATACTCCATCACTGGAATATACCTATTTGGACTGATACCATATCACCTCGGACTGTTTGTCATTCAGTTTATAGGACTTTTTTCACTTTTTGTCATATTTATGACAGTGTGTTTTATTTGTATAGCGCTGCACACCCCATTTTTATGTTATATTCTTAGAAAGGCTCTGTGGTTCCTTTTTGTGCACCAGCAGCTTTATAAGGTGCGCTCGCTAACTCACACATTTATACAGTCTGGGTAGCATGCTGGGATCTTTTAAGCCTGGCACTGATAGTTGGAAGGCAGTTAGTTGCAAGGTCTCTAGGACCAGGGGTGGACAGACCATTTGGAAACTCGGGCACTGCCCGGGGGGCCCGGGGTCAGTAGGGGGCCCCATAAGATGCCCCTGGTACCTTTTTCATAGGCTTTTTTGAGTTTGTCCAGGACTGTCACCAATATGGAAGATGCAGTCAGTAGCAGAGTTGTGGGATCTTTCAGGCACTGATGGGGAGGATGCAGTCAGTTGCAGGGTGCTGGTATCTCAAAGGCTTGGCACAGTGACAAGATGCTGGGATCGTTCAGTGAGAGCACTGATATGGAAAACACAGCCAGTGGCAGAGTTCACACATCACCCAAGTCTGGCACTGATGGGGAGGATGCAGTCAGTGGCAGGATCTTCCAGGCCTGACACTGATACTGAGAACACAGTCAGTGGCAAGGAGTGGGAATCTCCAAGGCCTGGCACTAATATAAACAATGCAGTTAGTGTCAGGGCTCTGGCATCTCTCAGGCCTGGCACTGATGAAGAGCATGCAGTCATTGGCAGGGTGTTGGGATCTTCTAGGCCTGGCACTGATAGTTAGAAGGCAGTCAGGCGCAGGGATCTCACAGGCTTGTCACTGATATGGAGGACACATTCAGCAGCTGGGTTCTGGGATCTTCCAGGCATGGAACTGATAGGGAGAACGCAGTTAGTGGCAAGGTGCTGGGATCTCAAAAGCCTGGTACAATGAATGTCAGAATGCCCGAATCTCAAAGGCTGGCCACTGATATGGAGAACACAGCCAGTAGCAGGGTGCTGGGATCAAACAGGCCTAGTACGAATATGGAGAATACAGTCAGTGGCAGGGCTCCAGCATCTCCCAGGCCTGGCACTGATGGGAAGGAAGCAGTTAGTGGCAGGGTGCTGGTATCTTCTAGGCCTGGTAAGGATAGTTATAAGGCAGTCAGTAGCAGGGTGTAAGGATCTCCTAGGCCTGTCACTGTTATGGAGGATGCAGTCAGTGGTGGGGTTCAAGGATCTCCTAGACCTGGCACGAATATGGAAGAATGGGATCTACCAGGCCTGGCAAAAATATGGATAATGCAGTTAGTGGCAGGGTTGTAAGATCTTCCAGGCCTGGCACTGATAGAGAGAATGCAGTGAGTGCCAGGGTGACAGGCTCTTCTTGGCCTGGCACTGATAGGAAGGATGCAGCCAGTGGCAGGGTAGCAGAATCTTCCAGACTTAGCATCAACCTTGAGGACACAGTCATTGGCAGGTTACTGGGATGTCTCAGGCATGGCACTGATATGTAGAACAGAGCCAGTTCCCAGGCAGTGAGAAGCTGATGCAGGTGGCTGTCATTGTGACTTTTATCACATTCTTGCTGGCTGAAGAGGAAATGAGATAAAAGGGAAAGAAGTAGAGCTGTCAGGAAGATGGATGACTTACAAGGCTGGACAGGACAAGTGGCTCATTACAGGAGGAATGTGACAGGTGCTCTTCACACATCAAACGTCTCCACCTGCTCCCCAAGTTGGAAACAGACAAATGAAGAGACTATCAGAGGACCTGTCATTCCTCCATGTGCTGACTGATAAGAATAAAATGTTTCCTGGAATGTGTATGCCGCTGGCACTGTCTGCTCTACAAGTAACGCCGATCTGTCACATGTTGCACACTGTCACGCACACAACTGTGATCAGCACTGAGGTCCCCAAACTGTGGGAGTGTCACCCTACCAGGCCTATGTGACCTGTCACTACACGGAGCACAAATTTGATCCCATACTATGAGAGTGTTCATCCTACTAGGGCTATGTAATCTGCCACATGGAATAAAACTACTGGGCTTATGTGACCTGCACCACACAAGGCAGCACTGAGACACCTCCCCCCCCCCCATATTGTAAAAGTGCCCATCCTACAAGGACTATTTGAATTGTCACCACATGAGTCAGATGTGAGACCACCATATTGTTGGAGTGCCCACCCTATCTGGAATCTATGATCTGTCACTATACAGGGCAGCACTGAAATCCTGAGATCCCCATACTGTGAGATTGTCCACCCTACAAGGACAATGTCAGCTGCCACCACACGGAGGCAGCACTGAGATCCCTATTTTGTGAGAGGATCCACTCTATTGACCCTATGTGACTGTCAATGAATGGCCAGCACTGCAACCTATGTAGGAATGCCTATCATACTAGGATAATGTGACCTGCCACGACATGGGAGAGCACTGAGACCTGTATACTTTGAGCATCTAACCTACAGCCTATGCTGACCTATCACCATAGGGAGGACCAGGGGCGGATTGACCATTTGGAAACTCGGGCACTGCCCGAGGGCCCGGGGTCAGTAGGGGGTCCCATGAGATGCCCCTGGTACCTTTTTCATAGGCTTTTTGAGTTTGGGCAAGGACACAGGGGCCCCATAATCCCCTATTGCCCGGGGGCCCCATGAGTTGTCAGTCTGCCCCTGGGGATGACCTATATGACCTGTCTCCGCATGAGCCAGTATTTAGATCCCCATACTGTGAGAGTGTCCACCCTACCAGGTATATGTGACCTGTCACTAGATGGGCAGCAATGAGTCTTCCATACTGAGAAAGTGTCCACCATTACCAGGTTTATGTGATCTTTCACAACGGGGCAGAACTGAGATTCCCAATCTGTAACAGCATCCACCATCAGCAAAACGTGACCTGTCACCAAAAGCAGCAGCACTGAGACTCACATACTGTAAAAGCATCCTCCCTACTGGGCCCCAGGCAGCATTGAGATCCTTCCATACTGGGCCTATGTTACCTGTCACCACACAGGACAGCACTGAGACTCCCATACTGTGAGTGTCTACCATACTGGGCCTATGTGACCTCCTCATCACATGGGTAAGAACTGAGACCCCCCATATTGTGAGAGTATATACCAAATTGGGCCCGTGTGAACAGTCACCACAAGGTCCCCTCTTACCAACACAATGTGACCCTACCACATTGGACACCACTGAGATCCTCATACTGTGAGAGTTTCCAACCCACAAGAACTATGTGACCAGTTACCACACCAGCCACCACTGAAACCTATACACTGCAAGAGTGTCAACCCAACCAGGACAGTGTGATCTATAACCACATGAGACAGCATGGGGACCCCCATACTGTAAGAGTGTCTACCCTATGAGGCCTATGTGACTTGTCACTACAAAGGGCAGCACTGAGATCTCCATACTGTAACAGTGCCCACCCTAACAGCACAATGTAAACTGTCACTGCACAGGATAGCATTGAGACCCCTATACGGCCCTTACTGTGCCTGTGACCTGTTGCCACAGGCAGCAGTGCTGAGATCCCCATATTGTAGGAGTCTTCCCTCTTACCTGGACAATGTAACCTCTGACTACTCAGGGTAGTGCTAAGATCCTCATACTGCGAGACTTTAAACCCTACAAAAACCTTGTGACCTGTCACCACATGAGACAATGATGAGATTCCTATACTGTGAGCGTGTCCACTTGCCTTGTGGCTTCACTGACGGTTTCCTACTGCACATGAGTTACACGTGGTTCCCTTTGTGAATGTTCCCACAGTCTTTTGGAACCTGTGAAGTGTCCCAGAAGGCTGCAGGGGATGGAGTGGGGGGGGCGAACTTCTAGATTAGAGCGCAGCAGCACATCTGACTGGAAGTGGGAGCGAGTACCTGTCAAAACCAGGTACTCGCTCCCCCCAAAAAGTGTGAAATGTGGCAGTGGAGAGGGGAGGATACAGACAACCGGGACTTATCCTTTTGTATACCAATCTTTTTATTGGAAAGAACAGATGTACAAACATGAAGTACAAACTGATGAGAGGTATAAAGCTCTCAGGTTATCATTCACGTGTAACATAAGTTGCATTGAGAGCACTCGGAAAAAATAAGGAAACGAAGATGGCACATATATGTGGGGATCAGAAGTCATTCTGGCATAACCCACAGGCAAAGAAGATAAGCAGCAGCCATCATCATTGTTGTAGAACATATTTCACTATTCAGAACATACATATTTAAGCCCCTGAGAATATGACCACAAAAGCAGTCAGGCACTAAACTTAGGTACATCAAGAGATGGTGGATTTGTTATTAACCATGATCCAGTTCAACTTACTGTATTTTTAACATAGTTAAGTGGTACCACCAATCGCTTCCAAAATGTAGCAATAGTGATCCTTGCTGCCAGGATCATATAGAGCAATGGGTACTAAATGGCGGACCACGGTCCACGAACAGCCCCAGCAGTGCTGCCGCCTGGACCACCAGCTCGCAATGATATTTCCGTCACTGAACAGGGCGGTTGTCACAGCAACATGACATCATGTGTGCGCCCTGTCCCTTTTAGCTCACTGTCTCTGTACACAAGGGTCCAGCAAGGATCCCGTACAGCTCCTGTCTGCCTTCAAGGTAGGGTGTAGTCTTTCAGGGGCACTGTGATGGGCACACTGAATGTTAAGGGGCACTCTGATGGGCACAACATAGAATATAAATGTGCTAATAAGAGTGCCCCTTAATATAAATATGCCCATCAGAGTGTCCCTTAACATAAAATGTGCCCATCAGCATATCCCTTTATTTATGTTAAGGGGCACTCTGACGGGCACATTATATGTTAAGGGGCACTCTGATGGGCAAATTTTATGTAAAGGGATACGACGGGCCCATTTTATGTTAAGGGGGCACAAATGGGCACATACTGTGGAAAGGGGCACTCTGATGGGAACATGTGACGGAAAGGGGCACTCTGATGGGGAATATGATGTAAAGGGGCACCCTGATGGGGAAATATGATGGAAAGGGGTACTTTGAGTGAAAGGGGGCACTCTGATGGGAATACCAGATGTAAGGTGGCAATGTGATGGGGATACCTAATGTAAAGGGGCACTCTGATGGGGACAACTGATGTAAAGAAGCACTCTGATGGGCACACCTGATGTGATGGGAATACATGTTGTAAAGTTGCACTCTGATGGCGACACCTAATTTAAGGGGGCACACTGATGGGCACACCCTACTCGGACCTCGGCCAGAAAAAAATTGTAGTGACCGGACCTCCTTGAATTTTAAATGAATACCCGATATAGAGGATCAGTTTTGTTGATTATTTGGAACCTCTGAAGGCAATTTCTGAAAAACGTGTCTCTGGGGATCTACTAATATTCATTCCTGTCACTGAGTAAATTAAATTGAACATCGGAGTCCAAAATTTAGACACTATGGGGCATTGCCACTAGATATAGTACATGGTTCCCAGTTGCCCACAGTGCCGAAAACAGGTAGGCGATGCGGTAGAATGCATTTTTGAAAGTCCTGTGGGAAACAAGTACCACCGTAGAAATGTTTTACAGTTAGATTCTATTAATGTTGTGTTGATGTAAATCTTGGACAGAGTGTAGGCAGAGTCCTGCCAGTCAGTCAGTTCAAGAGAGATATTTAGGTCTTATTCCCATTGGACCATATTCAGTATTCAGGTCAGTAAGGGAAGTATAAAAAGTAGATTTTTGACCTTTCAACAGTTCAGTAGCTTGACAGGATAATTCAAAGGGAGTGTTAGGGGTCCTGTTAAAGTGGTAGTAAGCTCTGTTCTTAACTTTTATCTACAGGTAAGCTTATAATATAACTTACTTGTAGGTAAAATGAAAATCTCCTAAATGTGCACCGTTTATGAGGTATTAGCTCTTTTTTAGAGCCGGTGCTTGCACTCTGACAGAACGGCATTCCCGTGCCGTTCCTTCAGAGTACTGTGCCGTGGCTCGGGACTTCATTGCGGTTCGGCTCGTTTTAAGGTAAGTCCTTCATAATGTGCTAGTATGTGATGCATACTAGCATATTATGACATTTCCTTGCAGGGGATTTTTTCATTCTCTTTTTACCTGGGGTTTACTACCGATAAAATAAATTATGTTTGGATCATACAAAGGACACAATTTGATTGTATCAAAACGTCTCACTGGGTGGAATCTGGTGGTTATCATTAAAGTGCTGTAAAGAATATGGCTGATCTTCATCCAGGTAATCCCCAATATGTAAGAGACCCTTACTAATCCACCATTGAAACAATGTTGGTACAAGCCCAGGTTGAATTCAGGATGACAGAAGACAGTAACTAATGGGGTATGAGAACATTTAGGAATGCGCAGTTTGTCCAGCACTTACCCTTTTGGGTAAAGTTCCACTTTAAGCTGGGGGCTTGTTTACAAAGTTTGGTTCTGGAGTCTTTGGGGTTTGGAGAGCTCACTGAAGGGTACCGGGACAAAGTTAGGGGAAGAGTGTCCAGTTGTCCTATGGAGTCTATGTCTCCCTCACTGAAGAGCATGCAGTGGATATCGGAAGGAGGCAATTGATGATCTGGGGCATTGTGAGTAGATGATCCAAGTGCTGGGTGTTAGTGACTGTGTGTAGCTCTTAGTTCTTTGGAAGAAGTCATAGTCACCTGTCAGCAGTAGAGAGTCTGTGGAACTTTTTTGTGCAACTCAGTGTAAAACATAAGAGCCATCAAAGAATTCAGTTCAGTAGTTTTTGGGTAGCCCAGGCTCCTTTCAAACCATCCAAGTTAAATTTTACAATAAAGCACCAAAAAGATAACCCTAGATTAGAGCCAGTGAAAATGCTGTGTACCTGGCTCTGTGCATTAATCATGGGAGAAAGAATAAAGTTCACAATCGGCTCTGTTGGGGGTGTGCTACACTATACAGCACAGATTAATGAATCTGTCACTGTGGCTATTATATTCTGACATACAAAACCAGCGGCTATCAGAATCCCTGCACTGCAGCTGTTGTTTGGCCGACAATTTTTAGCCAGACCAGACTAATTTTTCAGTCCAAGGTTGTTGGGTGGAAGGAGGCCAACAGGGATACTCTCTAATTATTACAGGTACAATCTAGGGTCCCTACCTCACATACCCCCCAAAAGAACATAAACTCCAAGCAGGTAGTGTACGGAACGGAATTCAAACCAAGGACCCCAGTGCTGCAAGGGAGAAGTGCTAACCACTAAGCTTCTGTGCTGACCACTATGCAAATCATCAGTGTCCGGATGAAATTTGTACATTGTATGACCAGCTTAAGACAAGGATCATGTTACTGTCCAGATTACCTGGTGAAAAAAAAGTAATAAAACCCCTAAAATAGAAAACGAATTCAACCATATCTTAGGTCTGATAAGCTGCAATCAATAATTTGTTTTGTTTTTTGGATTTACGTTTTATGTACACTTTAAGGTGAATTGTAGTGCTTTTTAAAGCTGAACTCTGCTCAAACAGATAAATACACAAATTAACTTACATAAAGCATATTGGAGCTATTTGCCAAAGGATTTGTACTTCTGTCCATCCAGTCTTCAGATTTACACATATCTGTCATACAACACAGCCATGTCCAGTAGGCAGGAGACCTGATTTTTTTCTACTACAGTTCAATAGCAGTTACAGATCTTGTCTCTCCCCCAGACTGTGATTGGACAACGAGAGGAGAAGCAGCACATGTCTGTCACTCTGCTCCCTCCTCCTATCAGCATGATCTTTGTTAGCGCATTAACTGACTGGCTGCTTCTCTCTCTGAGCTCTGCTGTACATGGTCTGCAAGAAACTGATACTAGGTAACATTGAAGTACTTAATGGCTCGCTCACACCATATGCTTTTTGCTGTGTTGGTCAATGCAGTCTTAACGCCTTGATAAGGCTGAAAGTCATCCTCTCTACTGTGTCAGTTCACACCAACATGCTGCATTGGCGTTTGCTGAAGAAAATCAGGCAGGCAGTATTTTAACACAATGCATCATGTTGCCACAAACTGTTGTAGAGCGCAGTGTGGGAATTTTACTAAAACTGGTGCAAAATCTGGTGAAGATGTGTAGAGAAACCAATCAGCTTCCAGGTTTTATTGTCAAAGCCTAATTAACTTGTTGCCGACCGCAGATAGCCGAATGACGGCTGCACTGCGGCCGGCCAGTCCTGAGTGGACGTCATATGACGTCCCCCCAGAACGCGCTCTCCTGCGCGCCCCAGGGGGCGCGCACCCGGCGATCTCCGTGATCGCTGTGTCCTACGGACACAGCTGATCACGTGATGTGGTAAAAGGCCAATCACAACGGCCTTTTACCACCTGATCAGCGGTGTCCAATGACACGCTGATCAGAGGGAAATGCAAGTGCCGGTTCTCGGCTGCACTTTCCTCACGCTGTCAGATCGTGAGGAAAGTACTGCCGAGAACCGGCAGTTGTCAGAGCGGGGATTGGCACCGATCATCAGGGCACTGATGATCAGTGCCCTGATGATCGGTGCCCAGCAGTGCCGCCCGCAAGTTCCGCCCACCTGTGCCCAGCAGTGCGCCCACTAGCTCCGCCCACCTGTGCCCAGCAGATCACCCACCTGTGCCCAGCAGTGCACCCACCTGTGCCACTCTGCAATGTCACCTACCTGTGCCCAGAAGTGCCACCTACCTGTGCCCAGCAGTGCCACCCACCTGTGCCCACCCACCTGTGCCCACCAGTGCCACCCACCTGTGCCCACCCACCAGTGCTGCCAGTCAGTGCCACCAGTCAGTGCCCAGCGGTTGTGCCAGTCAGTGCCCAGCAGTGATGCCAGTCAGTGCCGTCTATCAGTACCCATCATCAGTGTCACCTATCAGTGCCGCCTATCAGTGCTGCATATTAGTGCCGCCTATCCGTGACACCTCATTAGTGCTGTCTATCAGTGCCGCCTATCCGTGCCACCTCATTAGTACTGCCTATCAGTGCCCATCAGTGCCGCCTATCAGTGCCCATCAGTGCTGCCTCATCAACGCACATCAGTGAAGGAGAAAAATTACCTGTTTGAAAAATTTTATAATAGAAACAAAGAAACTTTTTTTTTTTTTTCAAATTTTTGGCAATTTTTTTTATTTATAGCGCAAAAAGTAAAGCGCCCAGTGGCGATTAAATACCACCAAAAGAAAGCTCTATTTGTGAGAAAAAAATGATCAAAATTTCATATGGGTACAATGTTGCATGACCGCGCAATTGTCAATCAAAGTGCGGCAGCGCTGAAAGCTGAAAATTGGCCTGGTAAATAAGGGGGTATAAGTGCCTGGTAGGCAAGTGGTTAAACAAGCTGAAGTTAGAGGCTGATTGGCTACCATGTACAGCTGCACCAGATTCTGAATGCTCCAGTTTTAGTAAATCTCCCCCAATGTGCTGCAGTGCATTTTGTGTAAAAGCAAAGTAATATGTCTCTTATCCTCCTCCCGCCACCTCTTCCCGGCCCTTTAAATTAATCTAAATGTCGGTAGGTAGAGGCGGGCAATCCAATCATGTGACCACTGTAATTGGCTGTTACAGCGGTCACATGATTGGAAAACTCCCGATCGCAAATATGCATCGGGGGCTTTCTGTTACATGTTAATTGCTGTGCTGGTAGAGCACAGCGCTAACTTGTTTAGAAATAAATGCATATATGCGACTGTTCGGGGTTAAAACCCACCCACCGAGAAGCCACATACTGTGTATGTGTGTATATATATATATTTATACATACACACTGTATATATAAATAAATATATATATATATATATATACCGAGAGAGGGACAGTGTATACACACATGGGGCGGACTGACAACTCATGGGGCCCCTGGGCAATAGGGGATCATGGGGCCCCTGTGTCCTTGCCAAAACTCAAAAAAGCCTATGAATAAAGTACCAGGGGCATCTCATGGGGTCCCCTACTGACCCCGGGCCCTTGGCAGTGCCCGAGTTTCCAAATGGTCAGTCCGCCCCTGATACACACAGTATATAATTGTTTCTTTATAATTTTTATAATTAATTTTGAGAAAATAATTTTTCTCTGGGTGCATGTCAAGTAAAAAGCTATGTATCTCTCTATGACATCAATAATGTCAGATGGTCACTGTGCCAGCGCTCTGTTAGAAAACAGTCATGTGATTTTTTTTTTTAATAAAAGTAAATTTTACC